TGCTGCCATAGCCACTCTGCCATAGTGCTGCCATAGCCACTCTGCCATAGTGCTGCCATAGCCACTCTGCCATAGTGCTGCCATAGCCACTCTGCCATAGTGCTGCCATAGCCACTCTGCCATAGTGCTGCCATAGCCACTCTGCCATAGTGCTGCCATAGCCACTCTGCCATAGTGCTGCCATAGTCACTCTGCCATAGTGCTGCCATAGCCACTCTGCCATAGTGCTGCCATAGCCACTCTGCCATAGTGCTGCCATAGCCACTCTGCCATAGTGCTGCCATAGCCACTCTGCCATAGTGCTGCCATAGCCACTCTGCCATAGTGCTGCCATAGCCACTCTGTCATTTTAGCAGAACGCGAGCCGTGCCCCAAGCAGCAACCACGACCTGTACTACACTCACTAGGCTCAGGGTGCCAGGGAAGGTGCCACCCACACTAGGCTCTCAGAGTGCCAGGGAAAGTGCCACCCACACTGGGCTCTCAGGGTACCAGGGAAAGTGCCACCCACACTGGGCTCTCAGTGTGCCAGGGAAAGTGCCACCCACACTGGGCTCTCAGGGTGCCAGGGAAAGTGCCACCCACACTAGGCTCTCAGGGTGCCAGGGAAAGTGCCACCCACACTGGGCTCTCAGGGTGCCAGGGAAAGTGCCACCCACACTAGGCTCTCAGAGTGCCAGGGAAGGTGCCACCTCAAATATTACAAGAGCTCTTCTAAATTCAACATTTAATTACTTTCAGAAAAGAGCTCCGCACACACCAGAGGGGTAAATGCCCCCCTCCCCCCTTCCATCCTTTGTTTTAGGCATAACCCTTCACCAGAGGGGAAACTGATGCGGGGAAGAAACTAGGGGAAAAAGAGGGGAGGGGAGAGGGAGGGAAGTGCTCGGAGGGGAGGCTGGGAAGAGAGGAGCAGGGGACCCCCAAGGGGAAATGAAGACTGTGATAATAGAGCAATTGAACAAAAAACCTTGTGAAGGGTGAAGGGTGGGGGGGATAGAGAGGGTGGAGAGGGGACGAAAAAAAAAGGACAGAAGCATCCGGAGAAAAGAAGAGGGGACGGAAGAGACGGAAGCAAAACTGGGAGGTTGCAGATGGATGGTTAGAGGGGGGGCAGGTGGTGAGTGGTTAGAGGGGGGGCAGCTGGTCAGTGGTTAGAGAGGGGCAGCTGGTCAGTGGTTAGAGGGGGGGCAGGCGGTGAGTGGTTAGAGGGGGGCAGCTGGTGAGTGGTTAGAGGGGGGCAGCTGGTGAGTGGTTAGAGGGGGGGCAGCTGGTCAGTGGTTAGAGAGGGGCAGCTGGTCAGTGGTTAGAGGGGGGGGCAGGCGGTGAGTGGTTAGAGGGGGCAGCTGGTGAGTGGTTAGAGGGGGGCAGCTGGTGAGTGGTTAGAGGGGGGCAGGTGGTGAGTGGTTAGAGGGGGGCAGCTGGTGAGTGGTTAGAGAGGGGCAGCTGGTGAGTGGTTAGAGGGGGGCAGGTGGTGAGTGGTTAGAGGGGGGCAGGTGGTGAGTGGTTAGAGGGGGGCAGCTGGTGAGTGGTTAGAGGGGGGCAGGTGGTGAGTGGTTAGAGGGGGGCAGCTGGTGAGTGGTTAGAGAGGGGCAGCTGGTGAGTGGTTAGAGGGGGGCAGGTGGTGAGTGGTTAGAGGGGGGGCAGCTGGTGAGTGGTTAGAGGGGGGCAGCTGGTGAGTGGTTAGAGGGGGGCAGCTGGTGAGTGGTTAGAGGGGGGCAGCTGGTGAGTGGTTAGAGGAGGGGCAGCTGGTGAGTGGTTAGAGGGGGGCAGCTGGTGAGTGGTTAGAGGGGGGCAGGTGGTGAGTGGTTAGAGGGTGGAGGCAGCTGGTGAGTGGTTAGAGGGGGCAGCTGGTGAGTGGTTAGAGGGTGGAGGCAGCTGGTGAGTGGTTAGAGGGGGGCAGGTGGTGAGTAGTTAGAGGGGGCAGGTGGTGAGTGGTTAGAGGAGGGGCAGCTGGTGAGTGGTTAGAGGGGGGGCAGGTGGTGAGTGGTTAGAGGGGGGCAGGTGGTGAGTGGTTAGAGGGGGGCAGCTGGTGAGTGGTTAGAGGGGGGCAGCTGGTGAGTGGTTAGAGGGGGGCAGCTGGTGAGTGGTTAGAGGGGGTGGCAGCTGGTGAGTGGTTAGAGGGGGGGCAGCTGGTGAGTGGTTAGAGGGGGCAGCTGGTGAGTGGTTAGAGGGGGCAGCTGGTGAGTGGTTAGAGAGGGGCAGCTGGTGAGTGGTTAGAGGGGGTGGCAGCTGGTGAGTGGTTAGAGGGGGGGCAGCTGGTGAGTGGTTAGAGGGGGCAGCTGGTGAGTGGTTAGAGGGGGGCAGCTGGTGAGTGGTTAGAGGGGGGGCAGCTAGTGAGTGGTTAGAGGGGGGGGGCAGGCGGTGAGTGGTTAGAGAGGGGCAGCTGGGGAGTGGTTAGAGGGGGGCAGCTGGTGAGTGGTTAGAGAGGGGCAGCTGGTGAGTGGTTAGAGGAGGGCAGATGGTGAGTGGTTAGAGAGGGGCAGCTGGTTAATGGTTAGAGGGGGGGGCAGGCGGTTAGTGGTTAGAAGGGGGCAGACTTTAAGCTGGTTAATGGTTAGAGGGGGGGGGGCAGGCGGTTAGTGGTTAGAAGGGGGCAGACTTTAAGCTATTTACTAAAAGAGGGGCCGCCCGCCCCGTACAGCACAACACGGGGACGGTCAGGTGACAGGACTCATCACCAAGGTAAACAACATCAATCAAATGCTCTGAAGGAAGTTTCCCACGACGGAGAGACCGGGAGGGGGGGGGTGATAAATACATAACCCCCCCATCACCCCTCACCCCCACCCCCACCGGTGAGCGTGACAGGGAGAGTGAGTCCGTCAACGGCCCAAGTGGCCCCCAGCAGCCTCCTGCAATGTTTGGCTGGTGGCAGCAGAGTGTTGTCCTGGCCAGGTCTGTATTGGGGCCCTCTCTCACGCTGTATCAAGCTCTATTGTGGACCCTCGTCCCCGAGGGGGTCCAGGTCCCCGAGGGGGTCCAGGTCCCCGAGGGGGTCCAGGTCCCCGAGGGGTCCAGGTCCCCGAGGGGTCCAGGTCCCCGAGGGGTCCAGGTCGCTCCCCAGGACTCTTGGAGAGTCACGACCTCACGACCAGACTGCTGGAGCCGGAGCCAGGGGTCACGTGAAATAATATTGAACATATAAATTAGATAAAAACGTAAGAATAATGTTAACTGCAGAAGACAGCGGCACCCACTGTGCAACATCTTCACCTGCACAATTACCATAGACGTAATGGCCTTGGTAATTTCTTGGAAAAAACTGACATAAATGTGCACATGATCAAGAGAGGGAGAGCAGGAGGACCCGACACACACACAAACGATCGAGAACAAACATCACATGTAAATAACCTGAGAGAAAATCCACAGTATCTGGTTACCAGCGGTTGTTGCTAGGACTGGGAGAGGTGTTGGCCCTAGTGTCCCCTCAACCCTACACACGCAACCCTAATCACCCTACACCCGCCCCAACCATCCTTCTCTTTGTCTCTGTCTCTCTCCTCTCATTCTCTAACTGACTCTACCTTATCCCAATCTCATTCCTCGTTATCACAATCTCCACTGTGTTATCGCGGAATTCGGACATAACACCATCAATAGAGTCCAATACATGTGTAAGTACTTCATTCATAATGATGTGCTGCCAGGAATCTTAACGAAGTATCCAAAATGTGTTTACTGTAGGTGCAGCCTGCACATGACTGTAAAGCTGCCGCCCAGTTGTGTGGGTGTGGAGCACATGACTGTAAAGCTGCCGCCCAGTTGAGTGGGTGTGGAGCACATGACTGTAAAGCTGCCGCCCAGTTGAGTGGGTGTGGAGCACATGACTGTAAAGCTGCCGCCCAGTTGAGTGGGTGTGGAGCACATGACTGTAAAGCTGCCGCCCAGTTGAGTGGGTGTGGAGCAAGACTAGTAACTGTGACTCAAAATGGAAGTATAGTGTGTATAGTGACTGTTGTGAGCCTTCCGTACATGATTGTATATATATATATATATATATATATATATATATATATATATATATATATATATATATATATATATATATATATATATATATATATATACATTATATATAAATAATGGGTAATAAGATTGTGTTTACAAGTTTAATAGCTAAAATTCCAATCGTACTTTTTTAAATAAAATTGATCATGGATTTCAAAAGATTGGGTTTTAAAAGTAATGTTGATATTTGCTCTTTATTCCTGTTAGTGTTGACCTCTCCACCTCCTGCACCTCAGTGGTCGCAAAGTGCCGCTCCAGCTGCTAGCCTCCTTATTCCCTAAGTTGTTATACCTTCACTACACCCTCCCTCTATCCATCCCCCTCCCTTCACTACACCCTCCCTCTATCCATCCCCCTCCCTTCACTACACCCTCCCTCTATCCATCCCCCTCCCTTCACTACACCCTCCCTCTATCCATCCCCCTCCCTTCACTACACCCTCCCTCTATCCATCCCCGTCCCCACCTCCTCTGCTCTACACCTGCCACACCCACTTCAGACTACACCTCAACGACACCTGGAGCAAGGAATCTATGATGTCAGTGACAGTGTTAGGTTGTCTGCGAGCTCCGTTGTCTTGTTAAAGACAGGATAATACTGATTATAGACAGACTGATAAAGACTAAGTCGACCAAGAGGTGCCACGGGCATGTATAGTCCGTCAAGACATCACCACCAACCACCACCTTGGAGTGGCTTGTCTCTCCGACTTCCCACAACCACTTGGGCTGGACGGTAGAGTGACGGTCTCCCTTCATGCAGGTCGGCGTTCAATCCCCGACCATCCAAGTGGTTGGGCACCATTCCTTTCCCACCGTCCCGTCCCAAATCCTTATCCTGACCCCTTCCAAGTGCTATATAGTCGTAATAGCTTGGCGCTTTCCCCCTAATATCTCCCCTCCCTCCGACTTGTCAATACAGCACCGATAATTGCCCAAATCAACGAACACGTATAGTACAGGAAGACAGCACGCGTTGGGACAACT